AGAATTTTTGTTGTTATTATTTTATTTCAGAGTAACAGTACTCGAACCCATGCTAGTAATTTATCAGAAACATGAAGCCAATATGCTGCGTATTCAAATATCCATATCTATTACAATATCTTCATATTCTATATACCTTCATTTGTCTACAGTAAGAGTATATCCCTGAGAATTTTATACAGGCATGAATGAGTATCTATCGAAGTTTTCGAGCATCTTCGGAGTTCATTTGCGTATCCTTCAGCGAATTATAGCTAGCAAAATGCAGTTTAGTGACTTTATCGTACATCGATACTCACAATAAAATTGTTTTAGCTCTACAAAAGCACAGTCAGTTTCAATAGAATGCAGATCATATATAGTCAGGGTATGGAATTAGGAAAGCGGAAATTTTCGACTCATAAAGTTTTATCTTCGTCGGTTATCAAGTTCGTAGTGAAATAGAACCTTGCATATCATTACTCTGTTGTACCCAGTCGAATAGCGACACAGTTTTGTAAGCATCATAGTTATATGAGTCGTACGATTAGAAATGCAATGAACGAACAGAATGAAAAACAGACGACCTTCGTGGAACTCGAACCCACATCTCCTGCTATCCGAGCAAATGACCTAAGCCAATTAAACTAGAAAACGTATCTTAATCTTGGTTTCGCATCACAGTGTATCGTCACTGACGCTAACAGGTTTTTGTTGCTGATCTAGATTTATTGGATGGAATGTGAGTGGGAGTATGAGTTAAGAGAAGAGCTACATCGACACTGTCCCCTTCAAGAAAGAACATGAGAGAGATTAAAAATAAAAAGTGAATAATATATATTTTACCTTAAATGGCTCGAGAGAGAAAATCTACGCTACTGTAGTAAATATATTGACTGCTGAGTTAGTTTTATCGAACTCACATATTTTTCGAAGAAAATCGTGAGTGTAAGTTTAAGAGCGAGTTGTTGTGAATATATGTGAGTTCTACATTTCAGTCCCAGAGGGGCTGCGCTAACAAGCTTTTCTCATGAAATAAAAGCAACAAAAATCAGTTTGATTGAGCCATGGATCTTGACACACATCTTGTTGCAGGTATATATTCATTTTTAGGCGTTAACGCAGAACTTTTTGTCACCTTCAATCATTTGTTTTCAAATTTCAGGCATTTTGAAACTTGGGGACGCGATACTAACCATTTGATCAGAATATAGATAATGCTATGAGAATATTTAGCTGGGAAAAGCAAGCACGGAGAATGTTGACAATATCATGGGAATATAAAGCATATTTTTAACATGCTCAGAATATGTATTTTTCGTAGGGGATACAGAATATGGGAATCTAAATTTCCAACTCTTGAAGAATAATGGTTTGTTTCATACCACTCCTTAACGTGCTGCCAACGGATCATTTTCCATATCGAGTACTTCTAATATCCTATCTTCGATATAACTCATCTTTTCAGTAGAGGGTTAGCAGCGTTTGCGCTGCGTTACTTGTTTTTATGATATAGGATTGGTACATAGATCATAGAGACTGGCAGGATCACGTTGGATTTTTCCGTAAGGTTATATTGACAAAAGAGCAATGGAAAAAAATAAGATATGATTCATGGCAGAGGAGCAAAGAACGTTAAATGTTATCGTTGTATTTATATGTTTATCACCCTCTTCTTGTTTTTTCTTTTTCAATTCTGTATTTCTAGTTCTTTTTTCTGGGTTAGCTTTTACCCTATCGTTTTCTTTTTGCTTTCTGTTCTCTTTTATTGTATGCCTATCTTTCGTAGTATTTCATGCTTCCACATTATAGTCAAACCAACAAGTATGAGTTTTAAAGTGTGTTTTACTTTCAGATATTGTTTGATGAAATGATATAATCAAATATAAATTTTTAAAGTATATCTTTTCAATCGTTACAATCCCAGATAATGGGCAACAACTGGGTTGTCTCTGCCAGCCGCCAAAATTCACTTCAACAATCTGTTTTTGAATCCTCTGATAGTGATACGGTATAGTTTTCTATTTGCGTTAGAGAATATAAGCATTTATATAGATCTTGGGTTTAGTATTACGATGCCCAATCTTCTCAGGATTTCCACTCGAATGGTAATACACAAGTTCAGCAATACTCAAAACAAACCGTTGGCGAATCTGCTGGATACGAAGGGTAAGTGTGTAGAATATTTAAATATGAGGTCATAAACTACCAATAGCAATCGACGATCATGTTTTATACGATTTCACTCAACTTTAACGTTATCAAAAAAAAAACTGTCTGGATTTTGATGCAAATTGTATATTTTAGCCAAATCTTTTCGCATTCGAAATTCACTCTTTTCTCAAAGTGTAAAAATTAAGATCAAATAAGAATGTCTTCATTGAACAAGTCTGCCTTGGGAATAGCTTGATTAAGTCAAGGAAATGGTTTTGCAAGTGTACCAGGTTAAATTTCTTGTCTTGTTATGAGAAAAGTGACATGCTGAGTTGAGTTCGTGTGTTTTGAACATAGTCCTCTGGTTTACAAAGAAAAGAAAATGCTCTACTTATGTTATAAAGACCCTTGATCTTTCTTCAAGCTATTAGATAACAAGACTATCATGATTCCTTGGTTACTTAAAATATTTCGAAACAATGATATTCGAAGGAGTTCGATTTTGTTCAGTTAGATATAAATTTTTTTCTGATCATCGAATAGTAGGATTCATAAAATTAGAACTTGGACATATAACTGCTTTTTAACACTAAGCACTAAAAGATTAAATATCTATCATTTGAATTGTTCGAATTTTATTTTAGTTTGCTTAAATCTGTCCTTCATGCAGAAGTTTATACACATAAGATTGTTATGCAGAATATAACGAGTTACAAAGAATGAAAGTCACTCAAATCAGCATGATACAGTAGATTTGAAGATTTATAAGTTCTTTTGATGTAAACTGATAGGAAGATGATTTTTAGTGGAGCGAGCGTTCATGCACCCTTTCTTATTTACAGTTTGTTTGAGTACATCATCATGTCCTTACAACTTTCCAGAACGTTAGAATAAATCATCTAATTATTAACCAAATCTCATAAAAGAACAGTGACATTTGGTCTGACCTTATCGATATATCGTCACCTTTGAGGCTCCATTTGAATGTATTGTCGGAAGTTTCAGTTTCTAATTTGATAGCTGCTAATTCAACTGGATTTTGGATAGAACTCTACCAAATATGCTGACGATGTAGTGAAGTTTATAGTAAAAGAATGTGTGAATAATTTACTTAAATATGAAATTAGTAGAAAGAATATTTAAATTTCTATCGACTGGATTACAATGAAAAATCATCCTTTAAAATGCAAAATATTCTCAAAATAGATAAATTAGTAGACCTGTTTTCGAATGATATTGAACTAATTCATAAAATAAATTTGTGCTATTCATTAGTAGAAAATTAAAAAAAACTGGTGGCAGAATCGACATCAGTGACATTGAATCATGGAAAACTCTATTTACAACAGATTTCATTACGATCAATGTAGAATTTTTTGATATTATCGTTAGAAACAAATAGAGAGAGAGATTTACGTTCTTGAAATATTTATTACAGAAAATGATATCTTTATGGAGCATGGTCAAGGATCATGACCATCATTTAAAACAAATATGTTTTATTTATTGACACTTCATTTAACTTTCTACATATTCGAAAAATGAACTCTAAGAGACGATAATTTTTTTTTTCTAAATTCAAAATCCATTTATTAATGTAAAGAAAGAATAAAACAAATATTTTTTAATAGGATTCAACACCAAATGTTCATATTTGGTTCGAAAGATTCAGAGAAATTATTTGAAATTGACAGATTATTGGATAATCAATCTGGATTCACTCGAAGAATCGATGAAAAACATTTCATTATCGATATTCGTTCGAATTTCAATGAATCGAATCAATCTAGTTATGAATCTATTTATCTATTTCAAACAGATCGTCCGACACTTTTTCTCTTCATAATTGAAAGCAGTACTGATGGAAAAATTGACATAGAATCAATAATTACATTTAAAATCCTCAATGATGTCTACTTATTTGATACTAAATCGTGTTTATTTGTTGTCAATGGTTCATATACAAATCAAAACCAAGATACTATAAAAAGTAATATTGAATTATTATTGGATCTTGAAGACATTCAGGTAAGTTTCATAAATTCGAAGTCACTAGATTATTTTGAAGTATTGAATCAATCAATTCGAAAATGTAAGCCTACCGTACCTACTAAACAAAAAGAATTTTCATGGACATATCCAAAAATTAAAGAATTAAAAGATGAATTCGAGCAAAAACCAAATTGTTTGAGTGAAATCTATTATTTAAATAGTTTATTGAAAGAAACCGATGTCAAAACAGAAGACAAGGGTGATTTACTTGCATTTTCATATAGAAATACGCAATACTTTTATGATTATAAGAAAAGCAATTTAAGTTGTAAAAATAATCAAGGTATTAAACTTTTAGATAAGAAAGGGCTCGATATATTAAAATATCTTCTAAAAAGAGATGCTCTATTTCGTCGATCGGAAAATATTAAGAACGATCTTGATAAAGGCAGTTTAGACAAAGCTATAACTGATTTTTTGAAGCAAACTAATGAGCATACACTAGAAAAGAATGATGATGAAACAAGACGACGATTGAATGAAATCGATCAAATGATATTTGCCTTAGAAGATGAAAGTAGTGAGAATACGAATGAAACAAAGGAAAAATTAGAAATAGAACTTCATAATTATGAAGAACACCAATCAAAACTGCAAAATTTAGAGAATGATATTCAGAAAACGAAAGAACAAATTCAAAGTTTGAGTAAAAAAGTAATTGATGATGATGAAAATGAAGTAATGTCGAAGAGTTATGATAAATTGGACGATTTTTTACAAATAAAAAGATTTCAATTTGAGAGTAATTTAAATAGTCAGGCGATTCAAAGTTTAAAAAAGATGAAGAAGAACCAATATGAGAAAACAATTCAATGGAATAGATTCGATAGAAATAGAGAACAGAAAGATGTTGATGTATTGACAAAACATTTGCGCGATGAAGAAAAAGCTTTGAATGAATTAACAAATCAACTAGAAAGTAAGCAGAAATTGAAAGCAAATCTCGAGAATAGAAACACAGAAATTGAAGCAAAGGACATTCCCAAAATCGAAAGTAAAATTGAAAAACATAAACGTGTAAAATTGCAATATGAGAATCGTATTGAAGAATTGAAGAAAAAAAAGGAAGAATTAGAGAAAGAAAAACTTGAAAAAATTCTTAATAAACGAACACAAGATATTTTTATAGATGTTGGAGGATCGGATAGAACCGTTCGACATAATGACAGAGACTATCGTCCACATGAAAAATGTGTCGATTTTCCGAAAAGGGGTTATACATGTCATTATATTGGGGCTGTACGAGAAGCTGTTGATTTCGTTTCAGAAAAACTTGAACTTGAGACAAGTATTGATATCGAAGCAACAAAATTACAATTACTGAAAAAATTGTCTGATGAGAAATATGAACATTCTGTCGGAGCAATAAAAGATGGAAAAGCGAGTGGAGAACATGTTGAAGATTTGAAAAAAGTTGTTGATAAAATAGTTAATAGAAGAGAGGAATTGCAAAAGGAAGCAACAAAGATCAGTAAGACATATGAAGAGAGAATCAATCAAATACAAAGAGATATTTCAGACACGGAAAATTCGAAAATAGACATAGAAAAAAATATCGAAACTTTGAATGGCAATCGACAAGGTTTGAGACAGGAGCTTTTAAGTAATAAATTATCTATTATCAATATTAAAGAAGCTATTGAATTGATTAAGTCGACCATGAAACAAAAACAAGCGCTCATTCATCTGTTAAAAGAAAAGATATCTCGTGCCAATGCTAGAGTTCGTTTTTCAGAAAAATATGATTCAATCAAACAAAAACATGACCTAACTGAGCAAATTCGATCGTACGAAGAATTTCTTGATCGTACTGCAGAATCAGATGAAAGTTCGATGTTTTTAAGAAAGGAATGTCTTAAACAACTTAAAATTTTGAACGACTATCGTATTTATTTGAGTGAAAATCAAAATAAGACATCAAATTCAGAAATTAGTCCCATAACTCAAGCCAGTTCTAATAGAGAAAATAATAGTCAATATTCACACACAACTGATAGATCAACAGAAAATCATCAACAAAAACTTGAACGTTTAAAAAACGATTTATATAATTTAGAACAGCAGAAGAAAAAAATTGAATATCATATACAGAAAGAAAATATTGTTAATAAAGTCGAAGTAATTAAACTTCAGTTAAGATATTTCGAATCTCTTCCTCATATTAATGAAATTCGTGCTAGATCGATTTTACTAAACCAATCATCTCAGATAGATAGTCGAACTCATTATGGATTCGACTTTCGAGGTAAAAAATATGCTCATCCATTACCAGATCCCAACAGTAATGATATTCAACTGGAATATATTCAAAGAATAAATCGTATTCTTAATGTTGTAAATTTAATAGATAAGCAAATAGTTGAATTAAAAGCTGAACGAAAAAAGTTGAGTGAACAATCGAAAGCTGTTACGGATGAACAACGATCGATATGTTTTCAAAATGTAGAAAGATATCTATTAGATCGATCGATTCGTTTATCTGGATTCGATCGATTTTACGATGGAACAATACTGAATTCAATGGAATCTTTGATTTCAGTTTTAATATCGGAACTGATTGATCGTCCTCATCTGTATGAAATCGATGGGAACAATTGTCTTGATCCACTCATCGAACAAGGTGTAATGAAAATTTTAAAAATTTTAAAGAATAATCATGATATCGATACAATTATATCAGAAATTAATAGAGAATATTCAGATGAAGGTTGTCTATCGAGAATCACAATTTTTACTGATGCAAAAGAAATTGAATACAATCGTGATATTTCTAGCACTGAAGTTCATAATAAGAAAGATTTATTTTTGTTCAAACAGAATAATTTGTATTTTGTATTAAAACATGATCAGACAATCAAATTAGTCGATGATGAAAATCTTAATCTTAAATTACATATCAATCGATACGTGTCTGACATCGCCGAATATACTGATCTTTTAGGAAATTTATGTCGCATGCGAATAAAATATCATTTTAAAAAATATCTAGAAAAATCGAATAGTTTAATCGATGTTTATCAAGATGAAATTAATCAATTAGGTAAAATCTATTCAATAAGAGAATTCAATGGAGAATATTCATCGTATTCGAATTCGACTCTCTTCTATTTTCTATCGAATTTAGACGAATATTTAAGTCGACTCGAACTAAAATTGTATAAAATGGATTTTGAATTCGAAGAAATATTAAATTCTAGTTTAATAAAAATAAAAGATCTTTATAAATCAGCTATAATTAAAGTATTATATCATGAGCAAGAACGAAGAAATCAAATACGTCAGGATAAAATAAGAAAAAATGATCGTGATGAAAATGATTTGAAAATTTCTATTGAACAAGATGAAGAAAGAGAAAAACAGTCATTAGAAGCATTGAACAAGAAACAAGAAGAAATCTTCAAAATTGAACAAGATTTAAATAGAATTATTGATGAATTGAACCGATCTGAAACAACCTATAGAAAACTCATTGAAGATCTAGAAAAACAACGAGCCAATATTTTAGATCAATTGAATAAATTGAATGAAGAATTACGTCAATTGAGTAATAATATGATAGCGAACGAGCAAGAGATTAGAAAGCTTCAGTGTCAAATTGAAGAGTTAAACAATAATTTGAATAGAGTGAATAACGAAATAAATAAAACAGAAGTTGAATTAGCGAAAACGATAAAAGAAAAATTAAATTTAGAGACTGAAAAAGTCAATTTAGAAGTCGAAAAAAAGAAAATTCACATTGATAAGACACGTGAAGAAAATAATTTAAAAGAAAAACAAGCTGAAATCGATCGAAACCAAGCATGGATTAAATTTTTAGAGAATCTAAACCAAGCTTTTCTCAGCGAAGAAATTCTTCAATGTAAACAAAAGACCTTAGATGAAATTAAATCAACAAAAACATTAGAGGAATTATATAAGAAATTAATAAATAATAGTATTTTAAATAAGTTTCTATTTGAAAATCTCAATAGAAAAGATGTCGATGAATATGTTCGTAGAGCAGTATCTTTACCTGAAGATGAAAATTACAATCTATTTATTAAACTAAAACAAACAACCAATAGTTATCTTTGTCCAATAAATGGTCAGTTAATTTCTGAACTTGGTCCAAATACTGATGGTAAACCGATTCAAGTTAAAAAATATAAAATTTCAGTTAATAGTAGTATTTCTTATCGTGAAATTCATCAAAATTTAAAGGATGCTATTGAGCGAGAAATAAAGTGTCAAACAGGTGCATTAGGTTTCGAACAAGATTGCTTAAAAGTAAAAGATAATGGGATAAATTCATTAGAAGATCTACCAATTGAAATTAAGCCATTGATTACTGATAGAATTAAGATAAATTATCAACAACATGAATGGAACAATAGATTGGATAGTAAATATGAAAAAGCTGTTGAACAATTGAATCAATTAAAAATAAACTATCGAGACATTGTATATTGCTATGTCGATCAAATTGAAATACAATGTTGTGGAACATTTCTATTAGATTCGAATGATTATTATCCTGGTATTGATTTAATAATTCGTGCTAGAAAAATGAAATGTGGAAAACAGAGAGAATCAGTTAGTCTAATAACGACAGGATCAGATGCACCAGAATTCGTTTTTTCACGAGCGTCCGATGGATATCAAAGACGTAAGCATAAGAATACTCCCGAGGGTCATTCAGGGCTTGACGGTGAATTTGGTCGAGATGGTCAGCATGCGGGAAATATTTTTATTAAAATAGATGAAACGATCGAATGTTTAGAGTTATTAAAGTCGATTGAACTTTGTGGTGGTAAAGGTGGGGTAGGTCAGTTAGGTGGAAATGGTGATAAGGGATATAAAGGAAAAGACGGAGAGAATGGTGTTGCAGATGATACTCGTGGATTTGGAGGAGGACAGACAACGTTTGGGTTCGGTCAACCAGGAACAAAAAGTGGCGATGGAGGTAATGCAGGATTTTCAGGACGTGGTGGTCGTGCTGGACAAGCTGGAAAGTTAAGTATAAGTGATAGTCGAGGTAATCTCTATGAATTACTGAAAGATCGAATTCGACAGAATGATGGATTACCAGGTCGAGATCCTGATTTGACAAGTAGTAGTGCACCTAAAGGTGGAGAAGGTGGTGATCCAACCATAATCGGAATGGATCAAGTAAGAAATAAGCGAAGTTTTATTCGTAAGACTACAACTGAAAATGGTGAAGTCGATATTGAATACTTATTAGATAAAAATCCGGCATTGAGAAAAGAAATAGAAAAAAATCAAAAATGTGGAAATAGAGGTGTTCCGGAATATGTATCTATTCCATTTGTTCTCTTAGCTCCCATTCTTTTGGCGCCCCTTCCACTGTTAATTGACGGAACTATTCCTTATAGAATGACTAAAACTGAAGAACAATATAAAGTTAATCCAAGACGAGATAAAAACACAAAAGGTAAATCAAAGCAGAATACAACAAGTCGTTTTCGAAACGAAACACAACGAGGAGTTGAAATAGTTAAACGAGACTTTGCTAATACTTCAAATTTAGATCAATCTCTTTCAGAGAAACAGAACGAATTAACAGAAAATATCGGAAAGAATTATTATGAACAACGAATAAATAAACTAAAACTAGACAAGCAAGATATGGAGAATAAATTGGAAAGTTATCGATCCCAATTACAATCAGTAGAAATTGATATCAATATTAAAGAAGAATATATACAAAAATTAGAAAGTCAAATAAATCAGTATCAAAAAGAATTGACTCAACTAAGACAAGAAAGTTTAAAACTAACAGAAAATCAAACATTACAAGTTGGACAGGAAATTAATCTAATGACTGAACAACAAAATCTACGAGATAGAAGGAATGAAAAACAATTAGAACAGACAATTTCATTCAGTAATTTAAATTCATATGCAGAATTACATCAACAATATCGAGTAGAATATGATAGGATGAAAAATTCTATTAGTAGATTACAACATAATAAACAGAATCAATTAAAACAAAGACAAGATGAAAAAGTTGAAATAGAAAATCAATTAGCAATTTTAAGAGGTAATTTACGAAATAATAGAAGAAAATTAACTAAATTTAATGATGAAAGACTTGAACTATTGAAAGAAGAAATTATTTTAAACGAAGATATAATACAAAAAACTCAACAAGAAGAACAACATGAACATGAACATGAAATTAATTGGCTTCAGGATAGTAATATTAGTATACCGAGAACTAGAGAAAACTGTTTGAATAAAATTGAGCAGCGTGTTTTTACACCTTTTGCTAGAAAAATTTTTAACCAATATGCAAATTATAATGAAAACTATGGTGAACTTTGGTTTTTTCATTTACATTCGTTTCTAAAATGTATAAATCAATATTTCAACAATGATGATAACTCCATAGAATTGATTATCAATTGGTTAATTAAATTTGTTCTTCAAACAATTCCCTTCTCTGAAATTATTCACGTTATTCATAATGATTCTTCAGAATCATGTAATAGAATAACAGAAATATTATTGAAATTCGAAATGGAATATAAGTTAGCCATTGTTGATGAATTTAATCCATATTGTCTTTTAAAGCAATCATTAAGAGCATTGACAAATATCGACCAGGCAAACTTAAACGATATTCGATTTGATTTAAATCAAATCGAACGTTACTATAGAGGAATTCATTATAGTTATAATATTGATATGCAAGAGTTAAAAGAAATTATCAATAGTCTGAAGACCGAAGGTAATCAGTTGAAAGATTTCGAATTGAATAAATTATTTGGTGATTTTATTCGAGAAATAGAATTAATTACTATCGAAAAAGTTCTAGATAGATTAGATAAACAAAGTAGAGGTTATCTATTGCAAAATTTTAAATTGACATTAAATTATTTAAATAGTAGTAATGAAGAATATATTTTTTCTTATTTAGATTCGAATTTCTTAAATCATCTATCACAGTTAAGATCTAAATTTGACATATGTAACGATAATCTATTAATTAGAATAGAAAATGGCTTGAATAATATTAAAGAAAAGAAATTTCTTGAAGAATCAAGTATTATTGATGATGTTGAACAGATTGTCGCTTTGTTCGATGCTAGAAGATTATTTCGACTTGAATGTGCAAGTATAGATTTTCATCATTCGAACACATGTCTTACAGCATTAGAATTAGATATGCTTGAATTTAATAGGAATCCAACGTTTCAAAAACTTATTTCATTAGTTCAAGTTTTTCAAATTAAACTTGCTAATAAAGAAAATTCGTTTTACGGAAAATCGATTAAAACTGATAGAAAATTTTTCGAAATTGTTATTGATAATTTCGATTATTTTGGTCAACATAATCTACAATCAGACCTTTTGAATGAATTTCATACTATTGTAAGCGGATTTTTAAATCAGCGAATATATTTTCTCGATCTTGTTGATAATCTTCTGAAGAGAATTACAAACAAACAATGGTTGAATACATTAATTGATCATATAAAACAGAAAAACTTATCTCCACAATATTATCATAATATTGTCAATAAGTTACTATCGTCCTATGCTGATTTCAATGAAACAAAAAGACAATCGATTGAAGAAACATTAAATCAGATTGAAGATAGCAGTAATATTCAACTTGTGTATAGAGACTTGTGTCGCTTAACAACTCCTCAAGAATTATATATTAGATATAATTCATCAGTTATAACAGATCAATCAGATGAAGAATTAAATGAAGAAGTTGAAGATGAAAAATTTATAGAAGAAATTAAAGATCGATGGAAAGGGCCTAGTATAGAAAAAGTAACTATTGAGACAATATTATTGCAAGTATTTTATGAATTAAACAGTACACTCATTGATAAAACATTACGAGACAATGTTAAAAACGATTATAGAAAACAAGTTGAATTCGTTTTAAAGCAAGCTACGTCTGAGGAATCGCGTGAAAAGATTTATTTTATGTTTGTAGCATTAGGGAGACAAACTTATCAATATCAAAATCAGTTAAGAACTGATAATCCAGATCTCATAAAATCACTTCAACAGAACGTATCCGAGGATGAAGAACAACGACATGAAAGTATTCTTTTTAATTTAAATTATTCCTATTACAATCTGCAATATGAGTATGAAAATCTTGAAGAATCAAAGATGTTCGATTATCAAAAAAGATTAGAAAATCGTATTTTGAAATTACGAGAAATAACAAAGCTTTTATCGGATCAATGTAAAAATACTTTCCTGTATGATGTTCGACAGATATGCAATCAACAATTAAACACTTTCAAAGATAATCTGCTTCGGTTAAAAATTACAAGCGATCCGAGTGCGAATAATATTTTGAATGAAATAAAATCCTATTTAAAAAATTATACTAACGAAAGTGATTCAAGACGAATTGAGAAGACTTTAAATGAAATAATAATGAGTTATTCAGATGAAATTTTTAAGAGTCCAAAATCATTAGAAAAATTATTTGAAGATGTTTCTATAACGAACACTGAACTGTTGAAATGCCTTCTCAATTCACTTGATTTTCGAAGTTCATCTAATTCGTTTGATTTAATTAGAGATCTAAGAAATATGTTAAGTGATAAAAAAATTGAAGATCGTCAAACTATTTTTCTAGCAAAATATTTTCAACTATGTCAAGTACATACTCTACCTGTTCGAACAAGTTTAAGTAATTTAAGAGAAAAACTTGATCAAATAGACGAACTAGAAAATACTGTAAATCAAGTTTTGATAATTTTAAACAATGAGTTTGGAATAGATACGAATAAATCAGAGTTTTACAATGATTTAGTCAAACTTCTTGATGAAGTTCAATTACATTACGAAAGACAATTAGAATTGCCTAATACATTTAAAGATTTTCCAGACAATAATATAACGAATATTCGTAAAATGACATTCGATCTTGATCAAATTAAAAATCTAACCAACAATGATTTAGAAAAAATGAAAGTGATTCAATTTTCATACAAAGGTGAAGAAAAACTATCGCATTTTGCTGATGTAATGAAATCTTCTACGTACAATCGAGAAGAGAAAATCTTTTGGTTAGAATACCTTTATTGCTTTCACAATGACATTAATACCGATCAAGTATTGAGAAAAATTCTATTAGCATATACTGAACGGATTAAACTTTTGCGAAAGAAAATATCTGATGCACAACTACAATCGTTTCTCAACAGATACAGTAAAGATAGAGATAGTGATATATCAGAAGCTTTTCTTACCCTCATACAAGAAAAGAACGATCAACTAATTACTGCATTTCTCTACTATCTAAAAATCAGTATAACATTTGAATCTAAACATGAGGATTCGTTGAGTAGAACAATAGGAGTTTTACTATCATCGAATAAAAAAGGTCATTTCAATGATTTAATAACTATTCTCGAAGATAAAGAATATGTATTAATTTGTAGTCTGTTAGAACCATTGTATAGAAAAGCATTAGATAAGCAAAAATTGAATGAACGAACTTTATTCAATTATAAACAAGATATTATAAATGCATATAACATCAATAAAGATGCATCGGATAAAAAGATTCATGAACTTCAAAAGACATTAATAGATTTATATTTAATAAAATACGATAGAATTTTAGTTGACAATACCGATGGTGATTTATTTTATTTGCATAGAATAGAACAATTTAAAAAGCTATCCAACGAAATAAAAGATAAGACTAATGAACAAATTGAAAATATTCTTGCTCAATATATAAATAGAGAAATATTCCATCGATTAACAACAAGAGATGAACATCGTAAAGAATTCTATTTTCATAAAGATGTGATTGATTCTATTGGTTCGATATCTATTCCCGATAGTCAAAATACAAGAAAACATCTCAGTAGAAAAAATCTCGACTACTTTTTTGATAAAAATGGAGTCTTCTTAAAAGAAAAAGCGAAACAATTGAATGAATATTCTGTAATAGTTAATCTACATGATGGTGCTAAGATTTACGATTGTTCTTGGAGTAATCCTAATGAATTTCAAGAGAAATATCAAATTTTAATCGATCTTTATTCATCATATCGAATAGACTTATTTCGAGAGATGATTCGAAGACCTTTAAACGAACAAAACTTTCAATCAAATCTCATCGATATAGCTCGACAAGTAACTTATCTATTAGGAGTAAAAACAGAAGATGCATTAATAGAGTTAGAATCAAATATTCAAATCGAAGCCATTAGCCTGTTCATTCAAGAATTCTATAATCTTACTATCGATCGTATGTTTCCTAGTAGAGATGAACAAATTGTTCTTTCAGATTTTATATTTGCACTCGATTATTTTCTTGAACAACGTTTGGAATATCTGTTGTCATTAGAAATACACGATGATGAAAAACGAATGAAATTAAATACCTTAGAAAGTGAAATTAAAAAATTAAAAATTTGTCTAAATAAAAAAATCTATAAAGAAAATAATTATCGTTTAGTTGAATATGAATATGAAAATTTGATTCAAACCGTATCGGAAACTCCAATTGTTCGTTCATTACATTCAAGTTTATCGATAGTTGAAAATTTACTCTATTTAATAAATAGATTCGAAGAGAAAATTAAGAAAGAGTTTATTGAAGATTTTAAAACAGTTTTAGGTAGTAATAATAGTAGTGCTCACGAAGATCTGCTGGATATCAAGAAGATGAAAAACATTGAGCAGTTTTTGAAATCAAAAGAAAAAGATCTGTTAAAATTCGTATCGATAAACGATCAGTTATCAAAAATAAAAATCGACGAAACTATGAAGAATATAATAGGAAGTGAAAATGACTCAATAGAAATCAATTTACGAAATATATATATTCTCGAAATTCAATTAAAAACACATCTTAAACAATTCGAACGCATTCAAATCGAAAATTTGTTAGTTTCAATCGATGGCATCGACCAAAAGAATATTAATCAATATAGAGAATCGATTGAATCTCGTCTACATAGGATCAAATCATTGTTAATTGATTTCTATTTAATTATATTTAGTAGTGAGATAAGAACTAAGACTTCAACAAAAGACTATAGAAGTGATGAAAATTCAATAAATAAACGAATTCAATATGTTGTAGGTCTATGTTATAAATTGTACGATGTTAAAATTGCTTTTTCTGATTTATTAAAATATTTTGAGAAACTTTATGACCATATACTGAACAGTGAATTAGAATTTAGTCAGATGATCAAAGTTCTTGATGATATTGTAGATAATATTATTCTCGAACATTTCAATATAAATTCTCTTGAAATAAATCGAGATAATATCAATCAGACATTATCTTGTTTAGAGATCCTATCAAATGATTATCTCTATAATAAGAAAGACTTGTTTAGAAAATTATTAAAAGATATGGATAATTTTATTGTAGATGATATATTGAGAAAGAAATATTTAATAATTCTTTTTAAGTATTGTTGTTTGTTCTGTTCATTAAATGAAAATGAAAAAGAAACGTTACTTCGTTTTCATTTACAGAATTCAAATGAAATTGATATTGCTTTAAAATGTTTGAAAAGCATAATTGACAAGACGTGGAATATACGATTATGTTCGAATGTACCTGAGAGTATTGCAAATGATCAAGAAATCGTTATCGTTAAAATAGATACAACATTTAGTATTTACTATCGAATGAACGGTCAAACAGAGCATTGTTCCATCGATAATGAACAATACGTACGTAGTCTTTCATTAGTAGATTTTAAACAACAGACGATTCCACGTGATATCTATGAAAAAATTTCAACGATAGTTTTTGAAATCATTCGTTTGAAATCAGATATTAATATTCAAATGAATTATTCGAATCGAAATCGAATTATTGAATATGTTCGACATCATTTAGATGAAATAGAATTTTCTGTACTTGAAATTGAAGTTCACATTGGCAATGATGAGCAATTCGAAAAATTGATAAAATTATTCAGTACGAAAGAAGAAAAACATGCTGTCCATTGGATTTTATCATTTATAGGAGATAAGGAATCAGAAATGAAAAAATTAAATGATATATTTATTCTAAAACCTGTTCTTTCGTGGTACGAGGAATTGAGTGAATTCAAAGTTGAATTAGTTCGAGATAGAATTTTCAAGAAATTTTCTGATGATCTAGAAAAGACGAGCGACAAAAATCGAGATAAATTTCAAAATGCTATTCGGGCATCTCTGTTTTTTGCTGAGAATCATCGAGATAGTTGGTTTGAACTAATGACTGACATAATAAGTAGAAATGATGAAATTGTAATTTCATTGAATGATCTCATGAAAATTATTTCATTATTTGCCTATTTCGAAGATTTATCCGTATTGAAACAGATAGTTAAGAACAATAAACAGACAATATGGTTATTCGATATTTTATGTGCACGTGTTGAACATATTTTTAAAAAGATATTCACTGGAAATTTTTATTCGGAATTATCTAATAAATTAAATCATTTAAAAGGAAAATTACGAATTGGCATGGATCCACAATGTCTATTTCTTGATACGTTTGGCCAATTACTTTCAGAATACCAAAATCAAGAATCTAAACAATTACAACAGAATTTTAGTCGATTTTTAATTGAATTCATTGATTTAGTTATTCAAAGTCGTGTCGATTTAGATCATGATTTGTTAAGTAGATTATCTATTCAACCATTACCTATGTGGAAGTTATCACTTGAAAAAAAAGTTCTTGTCAATGAACTCGATCAAATTGATGTGTTTCAAAAAGGTACTGACGTAGATAAATCTGTTACAATTGATTATTTGTATAAGATCGGAGATGAAAAAGGAAAAGATATTTTAGAAAATTTATTAAAGCTTATTACAAATGTTAGACATTCAGAAAATAAATTTACCCTTAGTCAATTGAATGTCTTATTAGAAGAATTAAGTTTCGGTGGTTTTACGCTCGATCAAGAAAGTTTAGAACAATTAAAAGATAAATCATCCGATCAGTGGGAAGCGATTTTGAAGTCTCATATGGAAGATCAGTTTCGTGAATTGAATGTGGAACAATTGATTAAAGCTATGAGAGAAAAAACTGGTGAAAGAAAAATCAATGAACCTATTAAACATCTATTGAATGGTCAACGTGGTGAAACAAATATTGACAAATTGTTAGATAGAATCTATTCGTTCTATGGTCAACAATTTAATGATAAAGATAAGTTGTCTGTAGATAAGGTTCGAACATCAAACATTTGTACTGATTTATCTAGTAAATGGATTATGAATTGGACTAAGGATGATATTCGACAATGGGCCGATATGTTGAGAGAAGAAAATCGTTCACATAAAGAATATTTCAATTGGGATAAAGATTTTCTTCCAGAAATAATAGCAGTCATTGTACGAGCAGTAGAATTATATCATGGTTATCATCCGAGAAATATTCAATTGATAGCATTAGGAATATTTTTAGAACCACATAGTAAAGAAAAAGGTCGATTAGGTAATATATCAACAGGTGAAGGAAAATCGTTGATTACAGCTATGTTAGCTACAGCACAAGCGTTAATCGGTAGAAAGGTCGATATTGTTACGAGTTCGAAAATTTTAGCTATTCGAGATGCAAGTAATAATCCCAATGAAGGTTATAAAGAATTCTATCGTCTATTTGGTTTAAATGTTAGTAATAATTGTGATGATGCTTGTGAAAATCCAGGCACTGGACAAGCAGAAAGAAAAGAACGATATCAACAAAATGAGATTATCTATGGTGAGACTGCTTATTTTCAACGAGATATTCTCTTGACAAAATTTTTTGCAAAAGATATTAGAGATCGTATAGGTGATATTCTTATTGTTGATGAAGTTGATAATATGGTTATTGATAATGCTGAGAAAACATTATATATTTCTCATGGTATAGCTGATATGAGACATCTACGGGATTTATTTATTCAAATTTGGGTTTCAGTAAATAATAGAGTCGAGCAATCTTATAGTGAAGAGAATGTTAATAAAATCCATCAGTATATTCAATTGTTAATTAGTAATAAAGATTTAAAAATTCCAAGTACTCTAAAGAATTTTGTCGATAGAAGTTTAAAAACATGGATATCAAATGCTTATTGTGCGAAATATATTGAAGATAATGATAATTATATAATAGGTGATGTTGAGTCTACTAAGAACGGAGAAATCTTAATTATGGATAAGGATACGGGTGTTGAACAATTAAATACACGTTGGAGTAATGGTTTACATCAATTTCTACAATTGAAACATTGTGGAAAGTTAAGTGATGAAAGTTTAAAAGCAGTTTTTATATCGAATATGAACTTTTTTAAATTGTATGACAATCTCAACGGAATGACTGGAACAATAGGTGGTCAAGAAGAAAGAGAACTATTGAGTCTTGAATATGGTGTCGATTGTTTTGAATTGCCACGTTTTCGAAAATATCGATTTCGATATGAAAAAACTAATGAATGTGTTTGTAAAGATGAAGATGAATGGTGTGAACAGATTATAGCTGATATAAATGAAAAAATGGATGCTAAACGTCATGTTAGTGAACAGGAAAAAACTGAAATAGAAGAAATTCAGAAACAATCAGAAATTTTATTAGAAGATGTTAAAAAAGAATTAGAAATATTAGTTCAACAACGAGATAGAAAAATAAAAGAAAAATATGAACTGATTAAACAGAAAAATACATATGATATAGAAAAACGAACAATAGTTAAGGAAGTTGAAAAAAAATGGAATGATGACGTAAACAATCGAACTCGTGTATATAAATCATTAGAGATTTGTGAACAGAATATTAATGTAACAAAAAAAGCTATTGATCAAATCGATCAAGATATAAATTCATCAGAAGATACGATTCGTTTTCGTCAAACACAAATAGTTAAATTAGAAAGAAATATTCAACATTATCAACAAATATTAGGATCAGGTGAGAATAGAGATAGGAGACGAGCTGTTCTTGTTATATGTGAAAATATTGCTAGTCTAGAGAAAATAGCTGCTACAATTCGACAAAAATTTCAATCGAATAGAAATTGTAATATCTATACGTATGATCGAGCTTATAGAAAATTTGAAAAAAGTGAACTCAATCCTGGAGATATAATTATAGCAACGAATATAGCTGGACGAGGAACTGATTTAACTATAGATAAATTACTCGAAGCCAATGGAGGATTACATGTTATTCTATCTTATATACCGGGAAATTTACGTGTGCAACAACAAGTATTCGGAAGAACAGCTCGAGGTGGAAAAAGAGGTACTGGAGTTTATATTGTGTATGATCTACGTAAATTAATGTTGATGCCCGATATAACGATTGATTTTCTTCTTCAAGAACGAGATGACAAAGAAAAGGAACGATTACAAGATATTGTTAGTAAATCATTTCCTAAAATCAAAACTGAAAACAATCTATTCGATGAATTTAATCTTTTCAAAGAAGAGATCAAATCAAATATACAAGAAAGTATTCAAAAATCTGACCATATGAATGAAATGACTCAAATATTCCCATTTATAAATAGAATTTTTCGATATGATGAATTAGATTTTAATGCCAACTTTTTAGAATTACAACTAAATAGTTTACAAAATCATTGGGCTCTCTGGTTGAATGAAATGGATGAAAAATTGACTCAAGTCTATTTAACTAGATCAGAGTCGATTTTAGAAGAATTTAGTAAATTTAAACAAGAAATGTCTAGAAACTTATCATCAAATAGATTTGGTTTAGTCATTGAACCTGGTGAATTAGTTAAATTAAGTCAATTATTTATGGATCATAAAAAATACAAAGAAGCTCAGGATTGCTATGATGACATTATTGAAAAGCATCCCGATTTTTCGGATATTGCTCATTATTATAAAGCATTCTGTATCATTCATTTAGAAGGTGGAGCTAAAGATGAAAAACTTCGAGCAAAAACACATCTTAAAAAAGCTCTCGATTTATTAGAATCTAGACGAAATACAATCATGTCACGTAACCAAATATTGCAATCGTTAAATCAAATTACACAACAGAAAGGTCAAGGTTTAAATGTTAATTATTTTAGAAAACAGAATGAAGGCGAAGCACAAATATTATCACATCATATCAATGCTATTTTGGAGGCAATCGGTAGTGAGATTGCTTCGGAAAATTTTCGACAAGGAAAAATAACAGGAGATATTCCGAATGAAGTTTACAAAGAATTACTGAAAGATAAATACAATATAATAAAAGATAATCGAATCAGTAAGAAAGTTATTATAGGAGCAAAAGTTTTACTTACATCTATAGATAATAAATGGAAACAATTTTTAAGTGAGACGATACAAAATGGAAAAAGTGAAGTGAAAAGAATCGAATCACTTCTATGTAAAAAGGGTCAATTATTAACGTATGATTGTTTTCGAAAGCTAGGGTTTAATAAAAACCAATATAAAGAATTCAGAAGCGCGATGCAAAATCTAGAAATCTTATCTAGTCTTGAACTTTATAAAGTAAGTGATGAGTCGTATAATGAACCTTGCTTTATAATGTTTCCTGATGTATTCAAATACTGTCAAGAGCAAGTATTGAATGATTTAGAAACAGTTTTAATTCAATCACGAGAACATGATTGGAGTTACAAGGAACGAATCGTAAAGGAAGAGTTTTTTCAAGCGCGAGTCTTTCATCGGCAAGTATTTCTAGATACTACCCGTCATATTGTTAAACATAGAAATATGATTAAAGTCAGTGACGATTTTAAGGATTATTTAGTTGGCAAGTTAGATGATCCTGTGTTTTGTTCATTGGGAAATGATATTAAAAGTTTATTGCTTGGACAAAAGCTGATTCGATTCGAAGCTGGAGATAGGATAAATAACGAAACATTTTTTAAAACCATATGTAAAAAATTGAACATGGATGAAGTCAAATGTGAAATGATTCAGATTCTTTTTAAAGATTTATTTGAAGAAACGATTGAAATTGTTACTCATGTATCTGAAAGTTTAGGTCAATCGATTATTGAAAAATTAAAAGGTACAGAATTAGATGAAAGTTTTCCTCAAATTCAACAAGTCATAAGAGAAGTACTATCTGGTCATGAGATGTTTCCACTAAGTTCAAGAGATGTTATTCAGAAAACTACTTGGATCAATACATTAAAGGAATTTGTTCGTAATGATCAGAAACTATCAGATGAACAACTAGAGAATATATTAAAATATTTAGAATTTCGCGAGACTCTGAGAATCGATAAAAATTTGGAAGAAAAATTTCTTAATAATACCAATAACGAAATATTTTGCGGTAAAAAAGAAAAAATAAGAAAATTCATGTTAGGAAAAGAATATTGCATATTGCCATCAGGAGAAAAAGTTTGCTTGCAACTCGGTGAGAATAATTTTTCAAAGAGTCAGCTTATCTCTGTAATGAACAAATTTGGGATAACGGATAGAGAAAAAATAAATGATATCTTTAATCATTTAGCTGTTGAATTTTATGTGATCAAATTTATCCGATCGTACAAAGAATTCTATATTGAAAGTGATAGTATGAAGAAAATTGAACAATATTTATCAAAAATATCGTTTGAATTAATTGATGGAGACAAAGAAAAACTAAAAGAAAAAGTGAAAATGTTTAATTTTATGCAAATCGGCTCATTGAATAATAAGAGTGCATTTATCAAAAGAACACTACTGAAAACCATAGATGACGGAAAGGCCGATTTAATGAGAGAAGACTTTTTTATGAATATTGAAGATTTTCAAATTCTTCGAAGTATTTTACAAGATAATGATGTTATACAACCAAAGCTGTATGAGTTACTTTCTGAATCGCATTACCGAAATTCTTTCACTACTAGTAATAAGTTATTCTATGCCAATTTGGAAAATATTTTAATCTCACTATATAACAATGGTGGTAGAATTTCAGAAGACAGTTTATCGTTACGAACAGCTGATGAAGTTAGCAAAGAACTTTGGTGTCGTTTAAGAGAATTGACTGTAATAAAAGAAGCGAGAGTCAATTTTAAATTTACCAATGATCCTGAAAAAAGAATCGAAATTATTCAACAACAAATTGAAAGTGTAGTTGAGAAAATATTCGGTTTAAGAAGAAAAGAAGATAGTTTATATACAGTCGCCGATTGGACAGGATTTGGAGATTTAGTATCATCGGAGAATAAAGAACTAGATGAATATATTGATAGTATTACTAATGTTTTGAAAAATGTTGCTGGAGTATTTCGAACAATACCAAAAGTGAAAATAGAGGAGAAAAATCTCAAAGCTATGTTTCAAACAGGAAAAATACCACCCGAACTTATGGATTATGTTTGGATGTGTTTTGATTCAGTATTGTCCTTAAAAGAAGATAAAGGTTTTTGGGATTGGGATGCATTTGCTTGTGCTATGATCGGAATAGGACAAATTGTAGCAGGTATTGCAATAGATATATGTACCTGTGGTCTTGGACATTATTTTGCTCAAGCTTTGATTGCTGAAGGAATCGGAGATATTATTTTTGCAATCCAATCGGGTATTCAAGGAAATTTTAGTTGGAAAGCCTATTGTCAGCATAAGGTTCAAAGTTTAATTATTTCATTGTTAACAGCAGGAGTTGGAAGCTATTTAGGTAAGGGTGCTCAAGCAGGAAAGATGGCACTCGGCTTAGCAACAAAAACCGCAGTATTAAAAGCTATAGGAAAAGAAACTATAACACAATTGATTACTGGTGTCACAGCGGCCATAGTGAATATTACAGCAGATGAGTTAAGTCGATTTGTCATGAACGAAATATTGGAGAAACACTTCTATAAAATTTTTGATCAGTGGGTTGCAAACAATGAAATCTATAAAGAAAAAAAGATAAGATTAGCTGAACGATTCGAAAGCATTTATCAGAAATTCGGTGCACAAGATGCAGGAAATCTTATAAATGACGCGACTCATGCAACTCTATTAGATTTGCATCAAGGAGATCTTGCCAATGCAATATTTAATAGAGTTACACAAATAGCTCACGGTATTTCAGGAGCATATTCAGCTGCAGCCCGAACATTTAAGAAAGGTAGTAGCAAAGCGGTATTATTCACTTCAATCGCAAAAATTATTGATACCACAGTGAAAGGATTCAAGTTTTATAAGAATTTAGTAGATATATGTGTTTTATGCAATCGCTTTTGTGAAATTCTGGATAAGAAATTATCAGAGAGATTTCAAAATAATAAAGCGAAATCAAATACGGAGAAGATAAAAGAAGAAAATCAGAGTATTTCGATATCTGCTCGAATCTCAGAACATATAAAATCCATGGAAGATCAGATGAAAATTGCCATGAAAGAAAAAGTTAGAAATGATTTTTTAAAACCTGGCATACAATTTACATTCAATCATGCAGTCAAACCGATCAAAGAATTCATCACTTCTCCTTTTGCTAATGCGATGGAAGAATTGAAAGATCATATTGATCAAAGAGCTGAAGAATATATGAAGATAGTTGAAAAGAAGGGACATGAAGCATTAAATAAATTAAGTTCAAGGAAAAAGCGTGCACTAGAACAATTAGGATGTTTGAGCGATGTGAAAAATATGAGTCCTCAAGTGCTAAAAGAAAAAGTTTCTAATCTAAATGGTGAATCTATCCAAAACTTGATTAAACAACATGGTGACAACGTAAAGATTGCCATAAGAAATGGAAAATTGTATGCAGTTCTTCCAACGTATAAAGAATACATGGATAACATAGAATCAGGAATATATGCAGGTCCTATGCATTTTAAATTAGCTGCAGAAAAATTCAAAGCGCCTATAGAAGTACTCGACCCTGAAAATGGTTTTCAGCCACATGCCGATGCACCAGATGGTGGTATCATTTATCCTACAAAAATCAGTTCTGACAAGCCGATAAAAGTAGCTTTTATAAAATCGAACAAGAAGGGTGATGTTGGTCATTTTGCTCCAGTTATAGAGGTAAATGGTGAACTTCGAGTTGCGAATATAAACCAAGATGTCGATACTACGGATCAATGTTTTGCGCAAACTATGCTATTTATTGAGAAATATAATGCAGGAACAATAAAAGATATTGACTTTGATGGTATGCATGATTATGGTATAAGCAAGGGCGATACCGACAGGTTTAACGCAAATTTAGCTCAGTTAGGCAGAAGTAGTCAATCAATGCGAGAGGTATATAATGAAGGTCTTACTTTGGAACATCCTGAGTTTTTAGGAGGAGGAACGATCAGATCTAGAAGAGTGACAGATCTTGGAATCCACAAGAAAAGATCACCAAGATCTCGTACAAGAGATCCAAACTCTGAAGGTGATTCCGGTAGCGAAAATCCTTTGATTGCTTATAGGTCGTTGCGTCCAGACGAAGAACCTCGGGATGAAGGATTACGTCCTCCAGAAGATCACGATCCTGAAATATCGATAAAAGAACATGTTGCTCATGGTAGTAGAGCTAAAAAGAAGAGTTCATGGGTTTCTGCATCAAGAAGTATCAAAGTAGCAGGAGCATGGGCTAGTGAGAATAAAAGATTCGTTGCAGAATTCGATGTGCCATTTGAGGAAAAGTTACCATATGAAGAAAGATCTGTGTTTGATTTAACTGATCCATCAACGCAAAACTATGTATTTGGCAGTGATTTGAGTATGCCAAAAAATTTTGCAAAAAGTTCTCAAGAAATAGTCATAAAAGGTGGTGTAGACGCCAGTAAAATACGTAAAATCTATAGTACTCGAAGAGTGACGGAAGAAGAGTACAAGACTTTGAAAAGTCAAAACCTTGAAGGCATGAGATTTATCAAGACAAGACAAAGAACAGATGATCCAGTATTGTCTGTAATATTGGAGGAAGTGTGGAACAGAACTAGCGACGAACAACAACTCGAGTAATGAATTTTATTAACTGTTTAAACAATATTTGTTTTATTGACGCCTAATCTTTGACAAAATCTCAGCTCATTATTAAAATTTATCCGATTTTTCCAGTTCTACTATAATAAAATTTTATTGTTAAAACGAGAACATCGTCAATACACAGTTCGAAGGACATGACATATGCGAAAGCATCCAATGAAAAACTAACGAAAAAAAAGCGATAAGTACCACTGCCTATGTATCATTGATCATTAATCTTATAACAAAATGCCACAATCATAAGGATCTAGTTTTTAAAATCTTTGCCGAAACTCACCCACATGATGTAAATTTATCTAGTTACAAATTTTACTAACAATCGATAATTCTAAATAAATGGTATATAGATCTAGAAATGCCATCTTCATCATGATTGTCTCTTTTTGACTTGATATCAATGAAACTTTTCTCGTAAAGCATTAGACAGAGCAATCTCTCATTCTACACCCTAGCTTCAGAGTATGAAAAGATAATGAATTTGTCCTATTCGTTTTTCTAGAGTTCAACTATTTGAATAGGAACCAATTCTGTTTTCAAACTTAGATAGGTCCCACAAAAAGACAACTTTCGAGTTGACTCTGATAATGAGTTTCAATCTACTTCGATGTTTGATAAATTTATGTTTTTGTTTTTGTCAGTGATAGTACTTTCTCATACATAACTATTAGCCTAGAGTATTGTTACGTTTTTCTTTCATATAAATTTTATTTTTCTACTTTTTTTGTATCATACTTATATGGAATTCGTTATTATCATATCAGGATGATGTTTTACTAATATCTGCTGTACTTTTATTTTTGAAATTGTGTGGATTGGTTTTGACGCTTGTTAGAAGTTTAATGTGGTTGTGATCTATGTTATTTTGTCTATCTTTACGTATGTCATGTACGAATTCCCTTATTCTTGTCTGTTCATTAGTTATAAGTTTGTTTTTGTCTTGATATTCGTTATGCAAAGTTTTATGTTAACATTAACTGAAAGGCTTACCTTATTTTCAAATTGATATTATAAATGAAATGTGAAAATAACTGATACCCTCAATAGTCATCCAGTTTGTGCTCTGCTCTATTCAACTGCATGTGATCCATGGAAGATTGTAGTAAGTGTCCACCAACAAATAAAAAAGAGGCAGTGTTCTTCGTCGTTTCAAGAAACGTTATTTCAATACTATATCGGATCAGAGTCTTGACAAAACATTTTGATCCAGTTAGACGTACATGTGAAAAAGCCTCAAAATTGACTACATGCATACAATGCATTAATTGATGGAATCGGAACCAGCTAATCATTGAATTTGATCGATTATTTTGAATGATACGCAACCAATTGCTTCTATTTGAAGGCACCATCGATCAAATCGTTCGATTCTAATATTAAATGTGTTCTGTTTGTGGATCTTCATACACGAAAAACCACTTTTAATACGGATTATTTTAAACGTAGCAGTCATCCTACGAAGATTTCTATGTATGCATATAATCTGCATGAATCATTAAGACTGATTTTCAACTACTTCGAGTTTGCCGATTGATGAGTTAATTATGATCAATACAACAAAATAACTGCTGTGTGTTTACATGTACCATTTATTATTCTTAATGGTGATCTCGGGTAAATAAATTCATCGCCATCGATCGTAATTCTCAGTTTTGTCGATATCAATGCTCTCAAACCAGAAAATTGATTATTTTCCCACTTGGCTTCAGTACGATAATATTCCAAACGTGTTCTACACAGGTGACCCTATTTCATGTTTGATGTCAAAGAAGTACAACATGTTTTCAATTGCATCAGCTACATCCAACTAGTAGAAACGTTTTATTGACCTGAAGGACATCGAGAAATATCAGTATTATTTACACGGTAGCTATTCCATTTTGGACTTTGATTATATGCCAATGAATGATAACATCTTCTACCACTGTTTCAAAAACCATATTGGAGACCAGGTGTCCTGATATAAGAAAAATGATGAGTCGAATCATTGCGAAGTGCATTATTAAATATCTGTATGAAGCTTTTGATACAATTCGTTTCTAATCTTTATCCAAGATTATATTAATTGGAAACGGAGGGTGTGGGTGTGGGTGTGGGTGTGGGTGT